TTCCTCGGTTTCCACAATTTTGGACAGGGGCAGATTTAGGGAGGAGAACGTTGATCCTGTTTTCCTTCCTGTTTTGCCACTGTCGTCTTACTTTTTTGTTGACTGGTTTTTCAGTAACCCAAAAGGTTGTAAATTTAGAATAAAGACTTGGGTTACCCTCTACAGACTTGTGCAGAATCCCCACAAAATTGAGAGAGTGGAGGGCCATGGAGAAAATCAGCGAACAACATAAATGAGATGAGGTCCCTGGTTTGAAGATTATGAGCATCAGCTGCCAAGGAAGATGACTCCAAAAATAAACAAACGAACAATTCAGTTTTATCATCCAGGCATTTCAGACCATCATATTGTTACATGTACCATTAACATTTCACCAAAGTTAAAGTGTAAACCTCAAGGAAGGTATACAATTACAGCAAAGCTGACAATTGTTCTTTGAAGAAATCACATCAAAATGAAACAGATAGATTTTTTGCTTGCAATCCCATGATGAACACAATTGACACAAACTGGGCAAAATTCAGGGGAATAGTGGACAAACAATGGGGAGATTCATACCTTATACAATGTCCAAGTCTAAGCAGTCTTACCCCTGAATAAATCAGTTTATAACGAGACAGATGAGGAAAAGAGACAAGTTATACAAAAAGTACAAAATGGCAAACCAATCAACCGAATCAATACTCTGGAAAGCTTTCAAGAAACTATGTTACAAGTTTTTTTTTTACGCAGTAGTCAAAACCACTATATGGAGAAGTTTGCTGGTCCCTTACTGGATTCAAACCCCAAACGATTCTGGTCTTATGTACGATCTCTAAGAAGAGAACCCAATTGTGTTCATTGCCAACAATAGGAAAATCCCTTTTTCCTGACATACAGTATCTAAGTATTGATCTCAATGGTGTGATTAAGCAGCTCTAGGAGCCGAAATGTAACAAGGCAAGTAGGACAGATGACTATGCAAGTCACCTTCGCCCAATACTAAACTTTATCATCAAGCAATCATACAATACTGGTGTTCTACCATCTGATTGGAAAAAAGCTCTGGTCACAGGTATACATAAGAAAGGCCCAAAATGTGCACCTGAAAATTATCGCCCTGTGAGGCTTACTTGTATCTGATCCAAGATTATGGAACACATTGTCCATTCGCACATGAATAAACATCTCGCTGCTAACAAAATTATAATTGACCAGCAACATGGTTTCAGAGAAAAGTTGTCCTGTGAGACTCAACTAATTCAGGCCACACATGACGGGACCGAAGTTTTGAACCGTGGAGGGAAAACAGATGCTTTGTTACTTGACTTTAGCAAAGCATTTGACAAAGTCCCATATCGTAGACTTTCTATTAAGCTTGAGTACTATGGCACTATGGAAAAACCTTACACAATGGAATGAAAGGTTCCTAAACGGGCTTGAGCAATGTGTAACCGTCAACGGAACGCATTCCAAGTGGTCAACAGTTCCAAGTGAGTTCCTTCAAATTACACGTAAAAAACACCATAAAACCTACATATAACGTTAAAAGAAAAAAAAATCCCCAAATCCTCCCAACACAAATACCTGGGAGTGACCATCAACAAACACCTAGACCGGAAAGACCACGTGCAGAATATTACAACCAGTGGCCGTAGTACTCTGGGAGTTTTAAGGAGAAATCTTTCATCATGTCCCATGAATATTAAGGAGCGTGCATACCACGCCCTTGTGCGTCCACAACTAGAATATTCATCTGCAGCATAAAACCCACTCGCTCGTGGGCAAATGAACTCTATAGAAGCTGTACAGCGTCGGGTAGCTCGTTTTGTCACCAACAACTCTGATAGAACAGTCAGTGTCACTGAGATGTTACAGGATCTCCAGTGTGATTCCATTGCTACAAGAAGAATTTACCATCAGTGTTCCATGCTTTACAAGATTAGGTTTGGGTTGGTTAACATATATTTTGTTCCAACAATCCGACCAGGATGAAACATCAATACTTATCCTCAGCTACAAAAATATTCAATCAAGAGTAAACACTTACCATTCCTGTATGGAATAGACTCCCTTCATCTGTCGTCGGAAGGATCTTCAACCCATTCCAATCCATCAACATCTTTTACCCTTTCTTAATATTTTAATTGCACAATTGATTTGTAAAGCACGGTGGGGCACGTTTGCAAGCACTGGACTCCTTGGATAAGCGTTTTGTTGGCTTTTTATGTAGGATACGATTTAAGATTAAAGATAACCTCTCACATATAGCTATTTTCTGAATTTATACAATGTAAATTATGTCAGCTGGTACATAGCAATAATTCACATTTTTGGATGTTGGAGGTGGGGGTGGTGCAATGTTTCCGAAATTGTATAATTGACTGAATTGGATTGAAAATTACAGTCTTTTAGGTTTTTTGAGCATTTGATTAGTCGTCCACAATAAATGACAGTTTATCTCCAATTAATCTTTTACATTATTAAACTTGTGCATAAACTGTCTCTTAAGAAAATGACTATTCCTCTAACAACATCGGAAGCCCTAAATGAAATTTACAAAAGAAACGGAGTAACAGCTTACTTTAAACCTTTCAATACACTGAGAACACAATTGGTCAAACCCAAGGACCCAACCCTAGTTTTTAAAAAATTACAATGCGGGGTCGTGTACGAAATAGAATGTGATACGTGCGGAAAAACGTACATCGGAGAAACCGCAAGATCATTAGACACACGTGTCAAGAAACATTTAAATAAACATGTTGAATTCACTGGACACAACAATAATTGGAATAAAATCAAAGTACTAACTGCTATGTATTTGGGTGAATCCAATGCTACAAAAGAAGAGACCGAAACAGGCCGTAGGTTCAACAACTTTTATTCAACAACTCAATAACAATAACACACGTCTTCACTCCATGGTAGCCGGGATCCAAGAACTAGGATACACGTAGGCAACCACGTTAGTGGCACATTACATGTGCACGCGACATACAATCGCTGCGCGCATACGCATCACATTCTGTAGTTCAGGAACTACTACGCGAAGTAAGTAGGACTAGTGTAGTCCTAACACTACACTAACTAAAGAGACTAAAGGCCCGTTCGAGCGAAAAACGCAAACCATATTCCGGTGAATTCACCGGTTAATCACGCCGAGCACACAGCGGGTGGTCCACCGTTCGAGCAAATTTTAGCTCATGTCGAATACCGTGTAACGAAACTATTCCGGAAGTAATGTTGTAAGGTCATTCAGAAACACCAATCCCATCAACCCATTCTTTGTTTACTTCTGCTTCTGCTGCTTGCTTAAACGATACGCGGGAACGATTTGTATTGAAGTTTAATTCTCTGAATACTGTATTGTAATGGTAATTTTACAAATTGAATGTGTAGCTATGCTACTAGCCACCATTATGGCTACAATGATGCAATGTTATGTGGATGGATTTACTGTCCAATCCAACTTTGGTTTCGCCGTGAACATGAGGAGGCGGAGAAGAGCGCGACGACAGCGGGTACTTGCTGCAGCGTTAGCTGCTGTCAGGCCTGTGCATGGGGAGCGTCGCCTCCGACGACAGCCTGTTGACGACCCTAGGCAAATGCGGCCTCGATCTCTCGTGTAGTGAGAATAAACTGCACTACACGCCAATGCAAGGTTTTGGAAAGAGTTTTCGAATGACAAGGCAATCATTTCAGCTTCTTTGCAATACCCTTAGCAGTCTGCAACGGGAATCATCAAATGGGCTAGCTGTTGAACAAGTGGTGGCCATTGTTCTGTATAGGCTGTCTACACTATGTTATCTACGCACTATAAGCAACCTGTTTGGAGTGGGCAGATCAACTGTGTGCGAGATTGTTCAAGAAGTGTGTGAAGCAATTGTTTCATTAATGCTTGAACAATACATTGTGTGGCCTGCTGATGACCGTTTGCGGCAAACCATTGACTGTTTTGAGGAAAAATATGGTTTTCCGCAGTGTGCTGGTGCTGTTGATGGTACTCATATACCAATAATTGCGCCAAAGAATAACCCAGCGGATTATCATAATCGCAAAGGCCAACATTTCATCATTCTTTAAGCTGTCGTCGATGACAAATTAAGGTAAATTTTTTAATGCAGTGCTTATAATGAAGATCTATATATAATGCTTAACATTCATAATTTGTTTAATAATAATTTTATTTGCATTTTTAACCATTGTCTTTGCCCGTCATTGTATGATTATTTCTCATAGTACAGTATCAATTTATAAATGACTATCTTTTGACCACTTCTTCAGGTTTCTACTGTCAAATAAACTAGTCTTTAAAGTATTTGTTTAACTTTCTATTATATCAGACTAGTACGGCTCAACTGTTTTGAATGTTAAAGAACATTATGTTCCTTTTATATTTTTTTTGTATAAAGTTGTGAAGTGCTTAGGATGTCAAAAATTTTTGTAATTTCAATATTATTTTTCTACCAGATTTACTGATAATAATGTTGGATGGCCTGGACGAGTCCATGATGCTCGGGTATTCCGCAACTCCAGGTTATTTGAAAGGGATGACAATAAAAGTTTATTTCCACAGGTAATAAAATGTAAAAAATGTTATGTCATTACTTTCGACAATGTTTTTTTAGCATTAAATGATTTAAACTTGAATCTAGAAATGAAATAAAATATATTCTGTTGAACTCTTTCTCTCTAATAATAGCAAATTACCTATATGGTAATCTATAGATATTAATGAAGTATCAATGGTTAAGTCTTGCAAGTCATTTCACCCAAATTTTGCTAAATAATTATTTCCTCTTGTTATATTTTTGGTTTATTTTCAGTGGAACAGGGAAATAAATGGAGTTTTGATGCCTATCGTGATACTGGGGGATCCGGCATATTCATTGCTGCCATGGTTAATGAAGGGCTTTTCAGAGGGTGTAAATTTCGATGATCCGAAAAGAAACTTTAACTACAGGCTTAGCCGAGCCAGGATGGTTGTGGAACGTGGTTTTGGACAATTAAAGGGACGGTGGCGAATACTGATGCGGAGAAATGACTCAGCCTTGTTGAAAGTTCCTCAGATGGTGTCAGCATGCTGTGTTCTTCACAATTTCTGCCTGGAGCAGAACGAAGGATATGACGATCGTTGGGATGCCCCCGATAATAACCAGCTCATTAACGTCCCACTTAACGATCAGGATATTGGGTCTGGGGTGGACATAAGGAATGCCTTACTTGGATATTTCAGCTAAAAAAGCAAATGCTGTGTAGAAAATTAATGTTTTTGACAAACACTTCTGGATCCACCCCGCTACTAAACTAGTAATATTGTACAACAGTGTATTTTTTTTATAACAGAGAATAAATTTCAAACATTTATAGATATAAGAAAAAATAAATCACTGAAAAGAGAATTATATATGAACTACACACACTACACTACGTACATTGTTATATTGAATGAACAGTTATGGAGGAACTATATTAAAATTATGCAAATGCCTGGTAAAATAATATCATCTACACATACAATGAAAAATATCGAGGTCTATCCGGCTTTGAGCGCTTAGGTGCTGGTTCGGACAGCGAGTTGGATGCCAGAGATACGACGGTGTTTATTGGTTTAATAGTCCAGATACGCGAGTGCGAGTGCTTGTTGTCGTAGGCCAGGGTTGTTCTATAGGAGTATCCTCGACAGATGGACGAGCTAATGATGAAGATGTATGAGTGCTTGTTGGTGTAGGCCACTGATGCTGAATAGGAGCATCCTCGACAGGTGGTCGAGCTACCGACGAAGATACACGAGTGCTTGTTGGTGTAGGCCACTGATGCTGAATAGGAGCATCCTCGAAACGTGGTCGAGCTAGCGACAAATATGTGGCTGTTGCATAGGTTGCATATACATTCGCATCATTTCCAACATATTTGAATTTTGCTTCTCCATTAACCGCTCCTGCAATTCAGCATGCTGCTGCTGAAGCTGTTTCTGGTGTTCAAGCATTCTTCGTTCGAATGCCACATCCTGTTCCTCACAGTTTGCATTGAACGTTTGCAGTGCCATTTCGAATTTCGATTTTTTCTTTGCCTTCTTTTTTGGTTTTCGTTGCTGGGCTTTTAAAGAAAATGTACAAACATTATCTCCAACGATCAAGAAAGTGATATGAAAAATGTTGAAGGAAATTTTAATCAATGTTACACAACAATTGAAGTGTAATAACAGATGTGACATTTGTTATTTCATCGATATTAGGGAACTTATGGATTTGGTGATTATATTATATTTTTTTTAATCTACTGTATTATAAATTGATTTATCATCATAATTCATTGTTTTATTTGGCATAATTTGTTCAGTAAACTATTAAAAAAATTGGTAGTGACAAAGTGAAACTGGTTGGATTGCAGGTGGGCCGTCTATCACACCTATGGCATTTGTGTCATCTGAAAATATTTAAAAGTACAGTATTCATTTAACAAAAATTAATTTTATTATGCATTTAAATTTAGTCAGTAAAATATTTATTTTAAACATTATTATTGTTGAGTACTTGCTATTAATAAAAAATGGAAAGATATGTTTTGTATATTACAGAAAAAGCTTCATATCGAATGGGATGTGTTACACAGCAAACAAACGAAATAACATTAATTACTGTAGTGATATTAAATGAAATTATATTGTTGCTAGCACTACAGGCATTTAATAAGTTTCTACCTTACCCAGATCAATCAAGGCTTCTTCTTCTGCAGCCAGTGCCTCTGGTTCTATCAAATTAGCTGTGAACATAAAAAGTTAAAATTGAAATGTGTGTGTATGGCAATGTCAAAGACATTGACTACAATACAGATAGAAAAATAATTATCACTAGAGGACAGATTTTTTTTTCCCCAATGATTTCTGAAAGCGGGGGAACTAGTAGAAAATAATTTAAACAAGTTTGGCAGTTGGAAAAAAATATGCATACAAACAAGTTTAGTAGCACACTAACTAGCCTACCTAAACCAGGCCTATTATCAATATTAGGTTAGGCATATAACAATTCTAGTACTGTAATATGTACAGCTTGAATATTCGAAAAATAGTTTAATTATAAACGAAAGAACATTTATTAGCAACTAGTATTCAACAATTATTAAGTATATAGGCTAGCTGATCCTATGCATGTACTTTGCGAATCACCTTACGGACTTCGCCCAAACCTAGGCCTTGAAATAGCGCACAACAAATAAAAGGGAAAAACATTCGCGCAAACTTCGCATGGATATCCACCACCATACAGAGTGGTATACTGTAATAATAGCATAAATAACAACCTATGCTTGCCCAGTTAGGCCTAATACTTAATAAGTATCATTTTAAGAAGCATACACACCGGTACCTACCTTCGTCATCAGCTTGACTTTCATCGGTGCCCTCTGTCGTGTTCACGCCGTTTTGGAGTACAATCTCAGGATTGTGGATATCCCGTGTACCCAGTATTCTGTCCAACGTGTCATAAAACGGCGACGTCACCTTAGCCCTCCCCGATTTGTTGTTATTGTCCTTTGCTTTGGTATATTCTCGGCGAAGGTACTTACAATTTGTTTGTTATCTGGGATACACTTATATCCATGCTGAATTCAACTGAAATCTTTTCAGCTATATCTTTATACACACAGTTGTTCCTGCGTGTACCATCGAGCTGGCGTTGAATACGCTCTTCGCCCCAAACAGATAGCAGGTAGGCGATTCTCCCCTCGGTCCACACCGACATCTTGCCACAAGCCGAATGTAAAGCGCAATGGCTTTTTAGCTTGACTTGACATCAGTTTGTTTACCACCGGTCATTTATTACATAACCCTTGGATTTCGCGCGCTGGGCTGTGGACGAACCATTTGGCAAAGCAATTAAGGTTGGTTTATCGTCGTCTCCGTCTCCAAGGCCATCTCGTACACGGAATTCTACCCAGCAATTTGGTGGTCAAAATTGTCGCGGATAATCCAGATGGTAAGGTAATTAGGCGCGTGTCCGAGCGGTTTTAGAAAGTGTGTACCGGTGAATTAACTGGAAAATCGCACGGATATTTTTCGCTCGAACGGGCCCTAATTCATTAAAAAGGAAAACAAAAGAAGCTATAGAAAATAAATGAGAACCCCACCATTAAACCGAGATTGCGGATATGAGCTACCACCATTCTACAGTAGCCTGCTACTTCATCACACGAACATCAATGCTGATGTGTCAGTTAACCGCCAGATTCAAACGGCTGACAAAAATGATGAGATACCTTGCTGACGTAACTGCCATTTCTGTCATTGCTGTCATGTCAGCTTTGTCATCATAAATTGTTATCAGTATCATCATTGTTATCACGCAAAAGCAATGAAAAAACGGTGTACAATCATTGAAAGTTGACTTGCGGAACACAAATTTATTAAGCTATAAAAAAAATCAAACGGATATTTCGATAGCACATAATAAATGTGTTCCGCAAGTCAACTTTCAATGATTGTACACCGTTTTTCATTGCTTTTGCATTTATTTATTTATTTATATTATATATATATTTATATATGTTTGGTATCCAAACACTTATCCAATGCCCATAAAATATTAAACACTCTTTAATACCAATAAATCGGTTACAACTTTTAATTTAAAAATGGAGGCCCAAGGAGTGAATGAAAAAACTGGCACCAACTTTTTTGTTAATCAGTAGTGTTTTTTTAATTGTTTAAGACAACAGACTACTATGGAGTCGGTCTGATATTTCACACTTGCTGCAGGCACACCATGTTCTTAATGTATTTTAATACTTTCTTCTGCATCTTTTTTTTGTTTCAGTCTGTTCAGATGGATTAAACCTCATGTGCAAATTATTAAATAAGTAACAAAATTTTACATTAAACAGAACAAAGCGCTAAACAACTTTATTAGATTTAAATCTAAATACTTTTACAAAAAAAATATTGAAAACAATCTATCATAATTTTCTAATATTTTAATAATTTTAGAAACGAAAAATAAATGTTTGTACTGTAGGAGAAACGGCGGGTTTCTTCTTGTCCTTGTTATCAACATGTCTGTTTAATTTTAATATTTTAATTCGTGATATTCTGTCAATGTATTATTATTTTGAAATGTGAAAATAAAAAATATAATACAAAAATACAAAAACATAAATTACCGGTTCTCTAATATATTTACGATATACAGTACAAACGTTTTAAAATAATACACGTCTAACAAAATGTTTGCAAATCCAGTGGCATTATTGGTTTTCTACGGAATCTTCGCCGCGTAAATCCCATCCCGAATTGAAGCCTTCCCTCTTTCGTTTGAAAAAGTAGCCTCAAAAAGAAGCCCATGGGCTACTATTGAACATACCATTTGCTATTTCGAGTAGTACAGAACATACACGTGCATATATTTTAAAGAAAAAATTGGTGTTGCAGTGGCCCTTTATTGTTATATATGAGTAATTCGCCAAATTTACAACATCAATTTAATAAGAAGCCCTTCTCTTTACTTTGCAAAAAAAAAAAAGTAGCCTCGAAAAGAAGCTCATCCACAGTTCGCAAAACAAAAAAAATAAGTAAATAAATAAATTAAGAATCGAGGTTTTATAGTAACTTGCACAGTAATAGCACTTTTCTAAACATTTTCTTTCTAAAGCTCTAAAATCAGGGGCGGAACCAGAAGGGCCAAGGGTTAATGTGCCTCCTCCCTTTGCCACTACATTTTAAAAACGTCAATGCATACTAATGCTATGTGCTACTCACTTATCTAATCTTAACCTTTTATGTCCCCCCACCCTCGTTTGAAAAATTCTGGATCCGCCCCTGAAAACCAAAATTATTCATACTGTTATTTTGAAATAAGGGCTATATTGTTTAGTTTCATTATTTCAATAACCAACAAAAATTATACTTACACGTTGACAAGGCTGGTTGTAGTAACTTTCTGATGATTTAAACAGATATCTATATTCGAACGCGTCTATAAATAGGTCGTCACTTTCATCATTACAAAGGTCTTCCAACCTCCGATTACTATAATCTACATTAAATATCGCAATACCATCAAACGTATTTTCATTGAATTCAGAATTACAAATTGAAATTGGTCCCAAAGTTGACATCTCTATTCCATAACCAAGATTACTTCTGACAACAACATCCTTGATATTAATATCAGAAGATATACTGGAGAATCGTATGCCTGACCCAGCACAATCAAAAATATTAACATTTGACAAACTCGGTAATTCACCGGTAACTGAAATTGCATAAATTGCAGGGTTGCCTGCCTGTCCATTTGCATCGACTCCAGCCAGTGAAATATCCGTGTATTTCAAAACGCTATGGGTTTCATGAATTCTGTCATTTAACCACATTAGACCAGTCCAAAAAGGGTTGTTTGGTAACGTAACATTTTGAATAGGCGTAATTGGTTGACTACAAACGATTCCGAAAACGTTTCCATCTAACATGAATAAATAAAAAATCATTATTATGATTACATTTTTACATTTTCACTGAGCAATTATATTTTAATAGAATTGATACATTTTACAAATGGGTGTTAAAGTAAAGATAGCTTACAGCAGTATTCGTTATACGTGTATCGTCTGTTGAAACAATCAAAAATGGATTCCTCTGTTGAATCACAGTGTATAATATTAAGGTGAATCGGTTCATGTCCACTTTCAAACCATCTAAAAGATCCTCCTACGTATCCTAGTTGACGACACACAACCAAAGCAACGTTTACATAATTTTGTGACGATACACACACTTTTCCCCATCTGCCATTCATATACACCAGAACCCGTCCTTCAAGGTGGTTACTCCCACTGACCAATCGAACGTGTGACCACTTATGGTACCAATCTTCTCTAGAAAAAGTTGAATTTCCAAAACTAGTCATTACCACGTGTTCTTCCTCAGTTCCATTTGTGATCAACGTTCCCTCGACGTACATACCAACACCTTCTGCAAACAGCATCTGCACTCCTGCCTGGATGGTCAGTGTTACATCGGTCCCAACAGTTACATCATCGGTCACATACACTGGACTGTTAGCCGACGACAAATTGGTATCTTCAGATATTTCCCCGTTGATAAATGTTTCCGCTAACGCCAAGTTTGAACAGGAAATTCCGACAATCATTATGAACACCAAATGATGTTTACTGATCGCCATTGCTGTGGAGAACATTGCATCTGATGACATAAGTTTGAAAAAAAAAAACAATTTGTACGAGGAATTGTTAATGTACATCTATGACAAGTGATTAATCGAATGGGTATGGTGAGCGTGAGGTATGATTCCTAAGTTGTGTTCTTAACCATGAATAATCGTTTATGGGTAGGGTGTATAAATAAAAGTTATTTTTGGAGATGTTGAAAATAGGACAGGCACAGGTGCAAAAATTTGGTTGCAGTGAAGCAGAATGGAAATATATTCATGGTATTGCTTTGTTAAAAAAAACACTTACTTATCTCCAACGATACAGTTAAACCTTGAAAATTCAAACAATTTATAGTGCATTGTACTCGTAGATTATAGGCGGTCGGTAGAGTACTAGCCTAACGGAAGAAATAATTATTAGCAAATATATTTTATTGTACTTAAATACACCACAAGAGTTTTTAATCTCAATTTAATTTAATGAAAAGAAGGCCTAGCTGACTTTATTATTAAAAAACCTTGTTAAAACACACATGTTTCGGCAGTATATTTGGCATTTTCAGTGTAATGATTGCTTTTATACAATCTTCTCTATAAATAAAGAGACCAACTGCGATACATTGTATTGTAAATGCAGAGGAATTGAACAATAACTATTTAAAAAACATCAGAGAAATGTAGTTTCATCTGAACTTTATTGTATATATATATATTCAGTTACTTTTTTTGAGAAATAAATATTACTTGATACTTGATACATGACGTATTGCATTTTAAAGAATGGATTAAACACTTAACTGTTAAGGCGAGAAGGAATGTCATGACTAAAAATGAGAAAAGAAATAATGAACATCAAAATAACAAACTTAAATTAACATACAAAAGTTGCTTGTTAAGAGAGGCTTATCCCCTTGGACCTTTTTAAATTTAATTGTTATATCTTAATCCGACATTCGCAATGGCGAACGGTGCGAAAATCTGGATCCACGTTTGTCAGTCCAGATCCAAAGCTCACTATGAGTATCGCACAGACAGTATAAGGCTTGGCCAGGAAGCCAACACCGGGATGTAGCAGAAAATTCAGTCGATGTGATGTACTAGCCTAGCAGACTTGCAGAAGGCTACCCTGTAAAACATACTTTCTATTTCAAGCTTTTAAGATGCCATAAAGAAAAACATCTTAAAAGTCAAGGGAATATTAGGCCTAACTCTCATAACCACCTCTCATTCCCTCCCCTATTTTAGTGCTTTGCACAACCCATTATTCACACTCCCCTTTGCTAAATTATTCGCTACTGGAGAGAGCTACTTACGATATACATTTATTTATGTATTTTATATGATGCCAGCATCGAGCAAAGCCTAGCTTATACAGTGAAACTTTAATAAACTAAAATAATCTCAGAACTGTTTAGTACTTTGTATTTGTAGATTGACAGTAAATGTAATGTATTAAAATTCAACAATTATCAATATTTGTAGTATACTGTCTGTACATGTCATTGGGTTTCAATGTTTCTGGTATGTTTAATATGTATATCGCACAGACGGTATAAGACTTGACCAGGAAGCCGCCACCGGGCGGATCCTATAAAGACTGAAACGCTCGTCATACACTCCAGGCATCGTTCTAATTCACAAAATCTGCAGTGTCTCCGCTTTGGTAATACAACGGTCACTCCATCACAAGAAGTCCGTAATGTTGGTGTGACTTTTGACAACACGATGCCACTAAAGCGACATGTTACTAACGTTTGTAAGTCTGTCAATTATCACATCCGTAATATTAGGAGTATCAGACATACATCCTAACTCGTCAGCACTTCTAATTAAACTCACCCCAAAGTAACAGATAACAAAACATCGCGTCAAGACCTACATTGGCTTCCAGTTCGCCAGTGAATCAACTTCTAAATTCTTCTTCTTGTGTACAAATCGCTCCATAACCTATCACCCACGTACATGCATGATCGTCTCAGACTACGCTCATCCACTTGTTCCCGAACACTCAGATCAACTACAAGTTCATTAACTTTCTTTGTTCCTGGGTGCCGTTCAAAATCATATGGTGAGAGATCATTTCGTGTTGTGGCTTCAAAAATGTGGAATGTACTACCCGTTGAAGTCCGTGAATCTGCCAATTAACATCTTTAAGAAGCGACTCAAAACTTTTTCTATCTGCCTCTTTATAACTACATTTTTTTTTACAAATTCTCTGTTGTTGTGATGTTTGGTCCAGGTTGCAGGCGCCTGATGCCAAAAAAGATCAAGACTTAACCGATGCTAACCGGAGTACAGACCTCCGGTTGGCGGTGATGGTGTACCCCATACTTTGGTTTGGGTGCTGGCTTAGTGTTTATTTTTTTTTTCTTGTTTCCAGCTTTTTTCTTTGTTTTCTTGACTACAATATTGTCTATCGCATAGAGACCTCGTTTATTTACGCTATATAAATCCATCTATTATTATTATTATTATTATTATTATTATTATTATTATTATTATTATTATTATTATTATTATTATTCATAGCAACAAAAGTCCTAAATCGAGTTACCTAAGGTTTTGAGGAATATTTTATAAAGCTTTTTTTTTTTCAGAATTCACAGGTAAACCAACACAAAAATGTTCACTTCAACAAAGACTAATAATATTTTCCTCCAATAGAATTGCATTTTTCTTACTGGTTGGGATTGGATTAAAGTACTTATTACGTTGTAGTTCCACATTTACAGTGAAATTATAGGGTATTTGTACAGTATGACAGTGTATAAGTATCCAATTTACACCAAAAATATTAAACACCTCCTCGATCAAACGCCTCTCTCGAACCATTAAAGTTGTTTAAAACATAAAGAAGATTGAGAGGTTTGGCAGCTCGCCAAGCCATTTCTGAGATGCGGACATTCTGTTTAAGTTTATTTTAAAGCTTAATTCCAAGGTGTTTAACCTACTCAGATTCATTTATTGTTTTACAAGAAAATAAAAATAGGATATATTATAGAATCACACCAAATTCACCGTTGATGGTATGTCATTTGCAGCTAAACTTCATCGTGCATAGAAATAGGCCAAACGTTGACTGTCACAAGAGTCAAATCATCAACACATTTCCATCGGTTTGGTGTGTTTTTAGTAGCATCTTTCACCATAATTTAGAACAAGGTCGACCCAAGGATGGGTCTTGACGCACTATACATATGACTGAACTAAATACTGACATGCCCGGACAATACGTTGACAGCTCAGTCTAAGAAACTACCAAATAGAAGAACCAAAAGATGTTGATAATATTATACTTTTTTTGTGTATGATCCAAGGAAGCACACCTTGATGCAAACAATTATTACTTATATTTGACAATAGAACATATATTTTTGTTGCAAACTGCATTCCAACACTAATTAGTAAGTCCTTATGGTGATTGGCTTTAGGGGTAGATTTGTTAAAACATAAAAAAAAAAAGATAATTAGGGAAGATAAATCAAATCTGCATCAAATCTAAACAATTAAGTGTGCATTTTTTCTCAATTTTGTCATTCATCACATCAAGTTGCTCAGCATATCTTTAAAAAAAATGTTAACAAAAATGCATGTGTGAAGTGAACACTACCTCAGGAACATCTATCTAAATGTTTTGTTTCTAATGGTTTCAACTGACACAGGGGCCTACTAAACACCTTGTGTAAGAACCCTGCATGGGTTTGGAGTTGAAACGAAGTGTTTTGTACCCTTTAAAGCATGGACCTCAGTTCAGTGCTAAATGTCATCATTAATGTCGGAACAAACAACTGTAGAAGTCATGATTTTAACCTAGAAAACGTATTAAGACGAGTACTACACGCTTGTTTACGATCTTCAAAGAAGAGCACCTGGTAAAATCTCTGTCGGGAATATGTCAAGGCATAAATACCACACAACTAATTGTTAAAGTACTTCAGACTATCAAACGACTAGAATCAGGCTTTAAAGACAACTATTATTATTAGAAATTCCAAAGCTTTTCTATCGACTCATAGTCTAAATGCTTCCTCATGTCATGTAATTGTTCAAATATTTAACGCCATGGGGCGCTTATTGTTGAGGATGATGTTGCTTCCATTGCAATTTCTTTTTCAGTCATTTAGGGCAGCGTTTATTTGAGGAGAAAGTCATCTCTAAATACAAACAACTTGGTTTTCTTATTAATTCTGAAAAATAGCCTTACAAAATGTACTTTCAATCCTTAAGTAACTCAACTGAGAACTTTGTTACTATGAAATATACAATATTGAACTTATCAAAATATTGAATCCCTTATTTTTTTTAAAATATTAATTCAGATATATTTCTTCATTAAGAATATATACATATTGACAGTTTATTATCAAACACACCTCTTTTATCCAAGTGATAAAATTAGAACCAGTTTTAATCAGAGCACCCTCTCTCGGTGAGATTATACATGCTAATTCCCATCGAAGTAGAAAAAAGTGTTTATCACATCATATTATTCGGATCATTGAAAAGCACAAATCCAATGAAATAAAATAGCATCATGATATAAATGCAAGCTTATGCAGGTTAGCCAATCGTAACAAACATCAACCATATTGGTTTTTATGGTGTTGGAAGACTTATTTCCTAACTTTATTTCCTAATTCATACATTTGATAAAAAGGCCGATCATCATTCGACAAAGTCACAAGATGCAAGCTAAGCGGTATTTCACCGTTTCACACATTTTGCACCAAAGCGTTGCATTCATTTTTCTTTTCTTCTTTTTTTGCGAAAGTGTGGTCTTGAGAAGAGTTAAAGGGATGAAAGAGGAAAAAAAAGTTTACTTATGAGTTACATTTAAGGATCCAACAGTGGGCGAAGGGAAAGCTCGATTATTTTACTACTTATTAATTTTAGATTTTCTATTGATTGACGACGGAGTAAAACCTATCAATGACGCAGAGTTTCGAAAATCAGAATGTAAAATAACCAAAAAGACGGAGACATAATATAGTAGAGGACAATTTTTAAGCTATTATTAGCACATATAGTACTTAACTATAACAGCTATCCATGCTAATGGCGGTAACGCCTATGCGCTCTCAAGTGGTGGTAAGCAAGGCCATCGACCATTAGGCAATCATTGGGATGGTAACAATGCTTTTTAAAGCCGTTTTCTTCGACAAAATTATTGACTTCTTCCAGACGGGGACCTTTGCTCCCCCTCGCTTAGACACCCCTTCCCTCACACGGTCGTCGCAAAGGTCTAATCAAGAACCTAGTCTATTCTATACTGGGAATCGCAAAATAAATTATGGTTATCACACCTCTAGAAATGACACTTATCTAGACTTAAAATTTGGACGGTCCGCAGTAGGCTGTGAATGTGAAGGCCATTTAAAGGGATTTCTGAGCAAACGTCCTAGACAAGATATTTCAAAAACTAATAAACTGATATGAATGAAACTTTCGTGAAAGCTTAACCAAACTTGAGGGTCATTTAAATGTGTGCGTGTTGTTTGTTTTCAACATATCTCAAAAACAGATGCACAAATCATAAATGGAAGTTACAGGGATGGTAAGATATGAAGAAAGGATGATGTGATTAAATGTTGGTCGCCATCCGGAGTAGGGTATAGATATAAGGAACATTCAGATGAAAACCTCCAAACCCAGATATTTCAAAAAAGAAAACAAAATCAGCCTATCTGAATGAAACTTAATTTTCGTGAAATTTTAATCAACTTAGAAGGAAGATTCAATGAAGCGTTAGTGACAATCCAAACTATTGTGTGCATTTGAGGGTCGTTTTAAATCTTAAGATCAGTGGCCTATCTCTAAAAATAATCAATGGTTCTAAATGACTAAACAGAATAATTTGTCATGGTTTGTTGAAGAAATGTTTAAATTTTCGTGAAAGCTTAACCAAGGTAAGAGGAAAAATTATGGAGGGTTTGTGACGATCCAAATGTGGGTGTGCATTTTAGCCAAAAAGGTCCTAGACCTAAATATCAATGATAGAACTGACAATTGGTGTAATATTTTGTCATGTTTTAATAAAGAATTGTGTCAATTTTGGTCACGATCCGAAATAGGGTGTGGATATGAGGACCATTTAAAGTGTACCGTATTACCGTAGGCAGAAACAATAGCTACAATTACAGTAAAGGTGTACAGAGTTTATATATGTACCAAGTTTTGGAACTTATTGGGAATATTTTATTTATATTTACATATAAACATGTGACGCTAAAATACAAATCCCCATAGTTCTATTTCCAAAATACCTCCATTTCAACATCAATCATTGCATGTATTTTGTTTATCAGCTATAAGATTAAAAAACTTGCTAGTAAATTAAGCCAGAAAATGTCAGGAATTTAAAACTAATGCCTTAAAAAGAAGTTTAAAAAATAAAGTGATTAGGCCTATATTTTGGTGTGCATATATGGACCATTCAAAGCAAAACGTCGCAGAATATATATCTCAATTCAACTGATCTTCTAAATGAAAGTTTCGTGTTAGTGTTTTTATGTAGATGTGTGGTTGGTGGTTGAAAAGTAGGAGTATATGATGATTTATTTTGAAGGAAACATTGGAAATAAGAATTTGAAACATAATGAAGGAAAGGAATTAAACGTGTATAAACACACGAAAGAAAAAGACAAGGAAATATAATAAAGGATAAGGAAAGAAAAGATAAGAAAATATAAGAAAGGAAGAAGAAAAAGGAAAGAAAAGATAAGGAAACATAAGAAAGAAAAGGAAAGAAAGGATAAGGAAACATAAGAGAGTAAAACAAAAGAAATGATAAGGAAACATAAGAAAGAAATACGGAAATATAAGAAAGGGAAAAGAATGATAAGGAAACATAAGAAGGAAATGGAAAGAAATGATAAGGAAACATAAAAGAATTGATATGGAAATTTAAGAAAGGAAACATAAAAGAACTGATATGGAAATATAAGAAAGAAAAAAGAAAAGAAAGATAAGGAAACATAAGAAGGAAAATGAAAGAAATGATAAGGAAACAAAATAAAGGAAAAGGAAAGAAAAGATAAGGAAACACAAAAATGGAAAAGGAAAGAAATAAGGAAAATAAGAAAGGAAAAGTAAAGGAAAAGATAAGGTAACATCAGAATGAAAAATGAAGGAAAG